TTGGTCATTTCTTCGGTTAGAGCTCATCATGCCTTGTTTTCATACACCTATGAACTTTGAACATGGCTGGAGCTGTCACAGGGATAGGCCTATACTGTAATTTATTTGGTTAGCCACCTGCAGCCATACTACAGCGTGACCTCTCTATGGAGCTCATGAATTAGCATCAACTACGTCCCAGTGCAAGCACATGGCAAGCGCTAGATGAATGAATAGAGGTGTGTCTACATATCAACTAAAAGAGTTAAAAGCTAACAATCTCTTCTTTTTCCTGTCCTGTGTATTTGCATTTGCTCAACCCAAATAAGGACTGAAATTAAATCGCAAAATGAAACAAACTTCTATCTCTAGGTAGGAGTTTAGGCAGAGAGAGGCCATTCTCCTTTTTATAACTTCTTCCATTTATTTGCAAGACCATACTTTCTCTAAAGCAGTCATTTTTTTTTCTCATGTTGGCTCTCAGAGATGTGGCTGAGGTCACTTCACAGACAAAAGTTTGTAAGGGAATTTAGGATACAGGCTATTACTTTTTCTTAGGGAAATTTAAGTAATCCACAACTAGTATAAATCACTGATTAATGTGGTCATAAATTATTACTGGGAAAAATTTAATGTAAATATTTATCCCCAATGTATCCTATTTCAGTCAATTATTTCCTCCTATCTACTATAGAAAAGTTCTGATTACAGGACTACAGTTGACTATCTTAATCATTTTTTATAAAACTGCTCATTATGTTTTACAGACACTATCATAATTAACAAACTAGTTATTAATTATCTTTCTTCAGCTACTAAAATCAAATGCACTGAACATATTAATTAACATCATTAATGAATTCTTCTGTTGTGTTATCTGATTGGCTGACATTATGTATCTTTATCTTAATTGTCTCAAGGCCTTGTGCTTACTAGGCAGGTGCTCTACAATTTTGTCCCTACGAGTCCACAAAGGGGACTGCAATCCCTTTTGTGCTTCCTGCATAGCTGAGATTATGGGTATATGTCACCACCCCTGGCTTGTTGATTGGCATAGAGTCTTACTTTCGGTCTACATTGGCCTTGAACTGTGATCCTCTGATCTCTGCCTCCCAAATAGGAAGGGATTATAGTCATGGCCCAACATAACCACCTAAATATACCTTATAATTCACACTTGATAATGACATATTCTTTCAATATTTATATGACTAAAAGCATGTCTATTTCATCCTTATTTCTGAAAAGTATTCCCAATGTGTAAAAAAAATTCAGACTATTTTTCTTTTAGTAAGAAAAGATGTTGCCTGTGGCCTTCTCATCTGTATTCCTTCAAAGAAATCCATGATCATCTTTGTCAATACACATGGTGTGCTTCCTACTAATTTTCTGTTTGTAAGATTTTCTCTGTATCCCTAGTTATAAATTAGCAATGTGTCTTGTAGTTCTTTTCATACTCTTACGGCTGGGGCTGGTAGAACTTTGTTGGTCTCTGGGTTTGGAGTTCATGAGATTTGGAAATTTTTCAATCACTGATTCTTTAAAGTCAGTATCACCTCTCCACCTTCACCTGAAGCTCTCCCATGTAGCAAAATTTATGTCTTACAGTCTCTGTCTTCCCTGTTTTACTTTGGATATCTCATTATCTCTAATTTCGCTAACATTATTCTGCAGTGTCTATTTTGGCATTAATCTTATCCAATGTATTTTTTTTTTTTTTTTGTCGGCCGTGGGACTTGAACTCTGGGCCTGGGCGCTGTCCCTCAGCTCTTCAGCTCAAGGCGAGCGCTCTACCACTTGAGCTACAGCACCACTTCCGGTTTTCTAGTGGTTTATTGGAGATAGGAGTCTCACGGTCTCTCCTGCCCGGGCTGGCTTTGAACCGTGATCCTCAGATCTCAGCCTCCTGAGTAGCTAGGATTACAGGCGTGAGCCACCAGCGCCCGGCTCCAATGTATTTTTCACCTCAGAGAGTCTGGTAGTCTTCACCACCAGAAGTATGATTTTGATAGTTCTTTACATCTCTATTTCTATTTTACATGTTCAGTCTTCATTATAACTTCTTTTATATATGGAGTATAGCTATTAAAACTAGTTTAATGTCCATTTTCATTTATTTATCTGGATCAATTCTAGATCAATTTGATTGGATTTCTTGCCATTATGAGTTATATTTCCTTGCTTTCCTACCAAGGCTGATTTTTGGCGGCGGGGAGGAGTAGTCAGGGAAACTACTAGGTTTCAAACTTAAGAATCTCATGCTTGCTAGGCAGGTGCTTTACCACTTGAGCCACATCCCCAGCTCCTCCCCCACCCACCTTTTTTATGTTTTAGTTAATTTTTAAACAGATTTCTTGTTTTATCCTGGGTGGGGCTTGGATCATAATGCTTTTAATTATGCTCCCTTATAGCTGAGATTACAGACATACGTCACTGCTGTTTTGTTTATTCAGATGGAATCTCACTGACTTATTGTCTGGAAATTTAAATTCCAGTTCAATTTCCAGTTAAAAAGTTAAATTCCAGTCTTCTAGATTTCTGCCTCTTGAGAAGCTTGGGTTACAAGCTTGCACTACCATGCCTGGCACTTGCCTGATGACTTGTTTTTGCTGGATGCCATATGTAAATTTAACCTTGTTTGTATTATTTGTATTTTTGTATTTGTATAAATATTTTTGGGTTTTGTTCTCAGATGTGGTTAGATTACCAGGAAACAGTTTGATCTTGTCTATTTTTTGCTTTTAAGTTTGTAGGTAAAACAGGAGGTAATTTGACTCACTGTCAAAGGCAAAACCTTTGGAATATTCCTCTTGATGCTTCAGGTATTGAGATGTATTATCATAGCTGGTGGGAACAACTGGAACAGAACTCCTGGTTCTATGAGACTTAAAGTCTGTACTCATACTCCTCTTATCACTACCTAGTAATACTGAAATTCTTCACTTGTGGAGAAATAATGTATTAGAAACAGGTTTCACAACACTGAAATACTAGGAATGTTACAAACCCAAATGCCTACCTCAAGGGATAAATTCACACAATTGATTGACATAGTAGTTTAAAACAATGCTGAAGAGTTGTATGTATCAACATGGAAAGATATGAAAGTTAAATGGTAGTTAAATAGAAAAAAAAGAAACTTGCTAAATAAAACACCAAATACCATTCACATAAAGTTAAAAAAAACCCACAGGAAAAATTCCATTAATTGTGTACAGATTTAGTAACAGGTAGGTATTATTCAAGATACTATGGCAAAAACAGTAACAGTAACAACAAAAAGAAAATCAAACCAAAAGCAGCCCCATAATTTCAATATTATTACAATCAAGGTTTTCTTGTTCTTCATAGTAAATGTCTAGTTTGAAGACAAGGCAAGAAAGAGGATTTTTGCTCCTTTCAGCCTAAGACCTGGACTGGAAGAAGTTCAGCCTCTGGAGTAGCTAAGATTACAGTATAACCCAATGAGATTGGGAGGATAGCAGTGTAAGGCCAGCCTGGACAGAAAAGTTGAAGAAGACTTCATCTCAACAAAAGAAGCCAAGTTGGGTAGTATGTGATTATCATCCCAGCTACCACAGAAAGCATGAAATGGGTGTATTTTCCTCTAGGCTTAAGCATGGGTGGTACGCAAGATCCTATCTCAAAAATAACCAGTGCAAAGATGGGCTGTGTGCATGGCTCTGCAGTTAAGCATCTGCATAGCAAGCTTAAGTCACTGAGTTCAAACTCTAGCACTTCCCCAGTGACTGTAGCCAGAGACAGGTGAGCAATGAGTGACAAATGAGTCACTCACCGGCCAGCTCTGAGATGTTTCTCTAAGAAGCACAGATGTCTTCTCCACTCTAATTTTGTTTACCACAAAGCAAATCACATGTCCACTCCTGGGCATAAGGTAAATATTATTTTACCTCATGCCTAGAAGGAAAAGAACAAGAATTTGTGAACAGCTCTACCAATTACCTTGAAATAATACACAGAATGGAAAGTGGGCACCAAATTCATGAGGGAAGAAAGGAGAGTAAGAATGGAATCAGGAGTAGTAGACTTGGGCTGGGAAGATGGCTCAGTGGTAGAGTGCTTGCCTTGCATGCATAAGGCCCTGGGTTTGATTCCTCAGCATCACATAAACAGAAAAAGCCCGAAGTGGCACTGTGGCTCAAGTGGTAGAGCCCTAGCCTTGAGCTGAAGAGCTGAGGGACAGTGCCCAGGCCCAGAATTCAGGCCCCATGACCAAAAAAACAAAAACAAAAACAAAACAGTAGTAGACTGTATACACTGGTTTTATCACTCTTCAGTTTCCTTATTATCTTAAAAAGATGCTTGTAAACATTTACATTTACATATCATGTACACACAAATGTAGTTTTAATCTCACAAAAATAAAAAATACACTGTTCTTATAACCTGACATAGAATTCATTTGCACAATTTAATTTAAAATTTTAACTAATTTCTTAAGTCAAAAATGGTTTATTATGTGAGTTATGGTACTATATAAAGGAATATCAATCTGTCCTGTTTCAATAAAAACTTTCCATTCTTGGCAAATAAAATACATTTTTTTAATGAATACTAAGTAAAACAAAGCAAATTTCCCCATTTGTCCAACTAACAGTCATATCATATAGTCTATTCACAAAGTCCAGTGATATCTTATTAAAACTGAAGCAGACAGAGACTAGAAAGAACATTCAATATAACACAATATTAGAATATTCATCATTAAAATGCACAAGTCTCAGGTGGGACAGAGGCAAAAGCCAGGGGACTGTGGCTCTCACCTAGCTACATAGTAAATTGTGCATCTCTACTAATAGTTATTTTAATGTATATGGTTAAATTTTAAGATACTGACATTACCTTCAGAAAATAAAGTATGTGAACAATACTAAGGTAATTTAATGTCTATGAATTTTATAGATTGGCTTAATAATGAAAAGACAAAGGGTTTGTCTTGTTGTTCTATGACTCTTATATAGAACCAAAATGAATTTAGATGCATGAAACTGGAAACTTACCCGTTCGTTTATTTCTGTCAACATAGCAATACTTCAACTCATAGTCTTTTAATAAATCATGAACTTCCTGAAAGAAATAAAACCATGAACTCAATAAACACCTGAACTCAGTAGGTGAAACAGCTCTATCAGTCTAACATAATGACCATCGTCACCACCACATACATGTGAAAAGGAACTCTTCCACACATCCCTCAGTACTTATCTAAAGACATTGAAGGCTACCATTGGAGGCAAAAGCCTTCCTTTCAAAATGTCCCTTCCAATTCGGTCCCTGCATAGAACCACAGCCTCTGTCTCCTGAGGCACAGGCACTGACTCCCCTGTACCTACTCACTCAGCCTTCATCTGGCCTGCCAGGAAGACACCACCAAAGTCCCCACACGGCCTCAAACGCAGCTCATAGGTAGTGCTTCATGATGCTTTTCTGAAATTTTCCCACAGAATGTGACCTCATTCTCCTTATGTGAACAAGAGATGTAACTTTATACCTCTTACGGAAATTTATTTCAATTTCTGCATACTAGCTATAGAGGTTTTAACAGTTATTCACCTATAAATACTTGTAGCACAAACATGGAGAATAAATATACGTTATATAAATTAGAGATTTTAACTTAGAAAGTTCTAGTTATAAAAACAACTAATAGCCACCAAAGCATACTATACAGTTAAATCTATTTTCCTGTGGCTCCTTACAGTACTTGAGTTGAGGGACTTTATGTATTTAACTACTACCTGTATTACTTTGCATATGGAAGACACTCAAATACATATCAAGGTAAATATAAATTGTGGCCCTAGTTATTTTTTTCACAATCTAGAACAAATACAAAGGAATCAGAGAATCCCTTAAGTGGACATTCTAACCCAATGCCTACTCTATGTAAGTAACTGTAGCTACTGAAGAGGCAGAGATTAGGAGACTTGTGGTCTGGGGCCAGTCTTGGGCAAAAACAAAAGACCTTGTCAAAAAAAAAAAAAAAAAGACTGAAAGCAAACAAGGCTGGAAGCATGGCTCAAGTTTAAAATTCTGGTACCGATAAGTGGGGTAGTACTGGTGGCTCACATTTGTAATCCTAGCTACTCAGGAGGCTGAGGCCTGAGGATCACAGTTTGGGGCAGCCCAAGCAGGAACGTCTGTGAGACTCTTTATCTCTAATTAACCACCAAAAAATTGGAAGTGGCTGGGCGCCGGTGGCTCACACCTATAATCCTAGCAACTCAGGAGGCTGGAATCTAAGATAGTGGTTTGAAGCCAGCCTGGGCAGAAAAGTCCCCATGAGACTCTTATCTCCATAAATTAACCACTGAAACGCCTGAAGTAGTGCTGTGGATCAAGTGTTAGAGCACTACCCTTGAGCACAAAGAGGGTCAGGGACAGCATCCAAGCCCTGAGTTCAAGCCCCAAAACTGACAAGGGGATAAAAAAGAACAAAAAACAAAAAACAACTGATAGTACACTAATCTTGAGCACAAAAGCTCAAGTAGAGTGGCCAGGCTCTGAGTTCAAGCCTCACCACCACGACCACCAAGAACAATAACAACAAAACTCTGGTACTGTCAAAGAATAAAAGAAAAAGAGAATAAGCTAATTATACACAGTTGCTAATATATAAAGTATATAGTATGGTAAGTATACGTAAAAGATTTAATTCCATAATGCTAATTCTTATTACTGTTATGGCTATAATACTTAGTTAGCTGTCAGTTGGAAGTAAGCATTGAACTCTATTTTTTTCATTAAGTCTGGCCAGAAACTTGCTGAGTGAGGACTAAGCCAATCACCGGGGCTCTAGGAGCTTACTGTCCCTGTGCCATACTTTACTTGTTCCTGTGCAGTGGTACACTGTCATTAACAGTTGCCAAAACTCGGTAACTGTTGTTATAGTTACCCAGTTACAACAGTAACTCTTCATAATAAGTAACCATAAGAGCAACCTAGAAATGGAAAACAGGAGGACAGCTGAGAAATATGTTCCCTTTTAATCCAGTAGAAGAGGAAAACGGAAGTGATGAAACAGGCAAAACATAAAGCTGGGTGAAGAAAAGATAATCAGGCTTCATACAAAAGATAATAAAACATTACTTATTTATAAGCTATATGAGAGGTGTTTAAAAATAGCTGGACACAGCAGCCCATACCTGTAATAAAAAAAAAAGTATTAGAGGTAGAAATGTAGAGAATTATAGATCAAGGCCTGTTTGGGCAAAAAGTTGCAGGGACTCCATGTCAACTGATAAAAAGCTGAACACTGTACTACACATCTGTCATCCCAGCTATGCAGGAAATACAAATAGGAGATTTGTGGTCCAGGCCACCCTGGGAAAAAAGGAAGACCCATTCTGAAAAATAACTGAAGAAAAAAGGGAGTTACCTGTATTGCAAAGCATGAGGCAATGAGTTCAAACTCCATTATCACCAAATATATTTATATAGAGAGAAAAAGATATATGTGTGTGTACATACATAAACATATGCATATATATGTATATACACATATATGTATCAATTTTTTTGAAATACTGTTTGTTGGAACACATAGTATAATGATCAATGTACACATTAGTCTATAATTTACTATCATTTACTATCACAATCTTTGTGCTGTATGCTTCAATGTTTTCTTAGATTTATAAAAAGATATACTGTATTCTTCATTAAGAAAAACAACTTCAATTGTGTAACATAGACACTGTGCCAACTTAATACTTTATAGAGAAGGCTTTTTTTGAAGGGATCGAGTATTTTCTTTTGCTTGCACAGAATCTGATCTTTCACTGGTGAACAGCTGTCAAACGCTAGATAAAGAAAACCCGATACTGCTCTTCACATGATCACAGAACTGTAAACAAATGGCATGCTCTCTGCTTGATTGGCTGAGGCAAAGCTTCAAAGCGCCTTAGAAAACATTCACATTTCTAATCATAGCTTTTCTATGCATCAGACAAGGGGTACAGAGCTTGTCAACTGAGAAACCTTACCGCGTCCTGCAAAGAAAAACCTAATTACTTTTCTCTATGCCCTGGTTGTTTTGACCCAGGCAAAAGTGGGTCACCCCTCAATTTGAGCCTTGGTAAGTTGGCCAAATTAAAAACTTAAAACCTGAAAGAGAGTTCTAATAACCATCTGCCAAAATTCTGCTATGCTCTGCCACACAGACCTGAAAGAACTAAAACTACAGCTTCCTACTATGCATCTAGCTTTATATGACGTTTCTAATGAATTATAAATGACTTTTTCCTTTGTAATGCTGGAGATGAAAGCCAGGGCATCATGCACGCTAGACACTCTTCGACTGACCCATACCGTCAGTTCACAATCTTATTTTTAAGCAGAATTTTTGATAGATACACTTCTGTCCTCTGATCAGCAATTTCATTTACAAATTTCTGAGGCCAAGAGTGATTTATCAAAATTGGTATTACTAATTGACATTAGTAAAAGTCTTCTAGATCTGATGAGCTCTCACTCCCTAGTGTTACATGAAAGCCTTTGCTCACATAAAATGCTTTTTGAAGAGACGATAAACTGCTTTTGGCTCAAAGCACCCCAAATCCCACCAAAGTTAGAAGTATTGTTCTAGCTGGTCTGGACTTCTTCCTACATGAAACTTGACCCTTTTTATGCACTAGAACCACACACTGTTTTCTAAGTCACTGACTTGCTTTTGTTTCAATTCTTCTAAGAAAGTCTTTCACAGGTTAACAGTCTACTTTTAAACCCTGAAGGAAACAAATAGAGTGTTAATTTGGGTGATTTGCTAATATGAAAAGATCATCTGTCAAATGAAGTATGGGACATAATATCATAACCACACAGCCAGACAGAAAGCCGAGGACTCCAGGCTTAAGGACACTGACCTGCTCCTTCTGATCCCTGCCTACCTTCCCCTTTCTGTAGGTATTACCCACCCCTAACCCTCCACCCTCCATCACCAAGGAAGGTGTGCTTTTTCTAGTTCTTGTTTTGAGCCTTTGTAAAAATGGTATTTTGCTTTTCTATACCTTGATTTCTATATTGAGTATCATGTTTCTAACATTTGGTTTGTTTCCAGGTTGTTTGCTTCTTAGCTTTTATAAAACTGCATCATGTTCTTGTAAGCACTGCATACAGATCTACTGGTATTATACTCAAGGAGTCTTTATGGAGTGAGGTCCCTGGGCGGCATGCATGCAACTGGCTGGCTTTGTGGAGAAAAGACAATGTTTTTGGCAGGATGAGGTGACATACATGCACCTGCTAATCCACCTCCTTTCCTATAGTTTTAGCAGATAAGAAGTTTTTGTCAACTTCATGGTCTCACTGTGTTCTGAAGTTGTCATCTGTTGACTAACCAGGAAGGGCAGCGTGCTGGCTGACTTTACATGCCTGCTGAGCTGCACTACCCAGGTATTCAATCACAACCAAAGCTGGGTACTTGTGAGAGGCTATTTTGTTCAAATAAGGAAAATTGCCTTTGATAAGGTGTGGACATTCCCCAGTCAGTTGAAGACTGTAACAGCAAATTCTAAGATATCCTGCTAAAGAAATTCTGCTGTAAAGCTACAGCATTCATATCTGCATAAGTTTCCAGGCTACTGCCATGCCCTTTGGACTTAGCAGTGTTCGAGGGGGGGAGAGGGAGAGGGAGGGGGAGAGAGGGAGAGAGGGAAAAGGAGAGCGAGAGCGAGAGGGGGGGGAGAGAGAGAGAGAGAGAGAGAGAGAGAGATCTACTGTTTCTGTGAAAGGAACCTGTGTAGAATAGACATATGTTTATTTGCCATTTACTTGTTCTCCTGGGAAACATTTATGTATCTCTATTGTCTGTTTTTCCATTCTAGTTCTCTTTTTTACTTATGTAAAGATTTTAAAAACAAATTCTGAATACTAGCCCCCTGCCATTAGTAGTATTACAAATGTTATTTCCCTAGTATGTAGTCTGTCATATTTATTTGTGAAACTTTCCAGAGATGGTTCATATTTTTATGAAGTCATATGTATCAATTTTTTGCCATAAAATTTGTGGGTTTTTTTTTTGTCAGTTGTGGAGCTTGAACTCTGGGCCTGGGCGCAGTCCCTCAGCT